CTATCGTTATCGGGAAGCCGCACTTCTGTTCTTCTCTTTCTCATAGCATAGTGAGAATTTATCAAGACCGCCAAAACTATGTTCTTAAAATCTAGATTCCTGGCCAGACGGATTTGACTCTCTTGAGCGCTAGTTAGTTCGATTCCCAGTGCATTAACAAATTGTACGCCAGGGAATTTGCCTCATGGATAATGTCCTGCACTCGTTTTTCTTTCAACAAATCTGAATGTTTATAGAAAGGATTGATGATGGTATCACGCCTGTTGAAACAGGATCTATGTAGCGAAGCACCCGTGGATTTTGCTACCCTACACAATTTATCGTGGTGCTGATCCGCTCTACAGGGGATTTTACAGGGGTAAACTTTGATTTTTGTAAGCCAATTAAAACTTGTTGACCTCTTACGTAAGGCTCGCGAAAAGTCACAGCTCTTGCTAAATAATCAGCTCCGTCGTGTTCCCAGATTGCACACTACGTTAGGTTAGCAAGCCGAGCGTTGTCAGAGAATGACTATAATTCAGCACTTGATGTGTAACGCTTGTTCAATGAATGAATGGCAACATCTTGTCGGAGCTCTCTCGGATAACATTCCAGAATCATATCCTAACAAGCCCCCAGAGTCCCTACTCTTCTTTTCTTGATTGTCAGTATTCCCTATTGGCGCAAACCCAATCCATTCCCATGCGTCTATATCATAGCGACTTAGTGTCATAAGTCGAAGATCGGCCTGGTTGGGACTGAATTGGTTCTGATCATGGCTGATCATGTTGAAAGCTCGACGTCATTATACTTTACAGGCAAGTGTACACCCATCGGGCTAACGGCGATCAAGTCAGGATGGACTCGGCCGTATTGGTAATTGATCTTGCTCTGATTCAACATCCCTCGATGTGTTAATATTCGTCGCACTCTCTGGGTCCTCTAAAACCCCCAGGGGCTCTGCCGACTTTTTCAACCCTTCGTCTCCAGACGACTCATCTGACGAATACGGAGCATCTTCAGCCGCTTCATTGGCGCGCTTCCAGTCTCTATACTTCTTGGCTAACCCTCCCATAGTCGGCTGCGTCTCAGTAGGGTTTGACCAGCTCTTGTGACGCCAACCAACTCTATCCTCAGGCCCGTGGTTGGAAGGCGACTCGGGACCTGAAGAATGTCTTGACCGTTGTCGCTTCTGCGGAAATAGGTGCTCAACGTCGAAGACTTCGGCACGTTTTATCGGTGCTGCTTTCGGCCTTTCATCAAATTCGCGCACGCGCTCTTTGAACCGTGTGAAGTTATCCTCGTCGAGACCGAGGATATTCTCCAGATACTCGACAGCCGACTCTGGGTTCTGTATGGCGGTGTCGCCGTGTTTTTGGTAATGCGAAATGTCGTAGAACATGGCGAGGTAGGCAAGCATGGCTGTCTGTCGTCGACTGGATGGCTGTTTGAGGGCATAGAACTCGTTTGCATTCTTGGGAAAATGTGTTGCTTCAGGGTATGTGATGCCTTGATTTGGCAGGTAGATGGGAAGGGCGTGGATGGGAAGAAAGGGATTTGATAGTTTCCCGTTACGAACGCTCGCTAGGAGTCGAGCATTATCGGCCTTCATTTCCTCGAAGCGCTGATCTATGTCTCGGAAGCGGTCATCGACGGACTTAAACTCGTAGTCAAGTGCATCCCTCAGATCGGCATTGTGTTGACTGTTGACCTTTGACTCTTTGGTTGTACTGTTCCGGAACTTGTGGATGTCTTTTGTGTTGGTATCGACGTCACTCCGGAGGCCGCGGATGCTTTCATTAAATGCCCTGAGATCGTTTCCGATGTCGTCCCGAAACCCGCTGAGTTCCCGCCTGATTTCCAGGATAATGCTGTTCTCCATCATTTGTGTCGCTGAGCAATGATTGTCATCAGTTTTATTCTGCCCATGCTCGGTCGCTGGCTGTGTGGTTCGCTGACGTCTGCTGGTCGAGATGATGTGGCGTGGAGGATCGTGATTTCACAGAGAGATTTAGATATTCTTGTTGAATAGGTGCTAGGGTATCACGTGCACGCAGGGATGCTTCAGATTACGCGCCAAAATGGCGACGCGCTCAGGGAACAGATTCTTGACAGAACATAACAGAATACACCAATTTTACATCAATGAACCGAATACACGTAATGTCTGACAATTAAGAGTCTCAATTGCATCTTAGCGACCCGCGCATCCAAACGCATACGACCTTCGGTTCATTCTATCACCATGTCGGCCAAACATGCTGAAAGGGCCATTAGTTACGCGTCTCCGGAGGATTGGGACTCCTGGTCCAACGAATTCAAGAAGCTGGCGCACGCCTACGATCTAAGGCAATACATCGATCCGAACGACCGTATACGATGGCCTCAGCGACCAGAACTTCCAGAAATCCGAGATTATCCTAGACAAGCCGATCCGGACGATCCCGATAGTGGCACAATGACGCCCGGCTCGGATTACGTACCGCCTCGACGAATCAGAGAGCTGACGTCTGAAGGAAGAGCGGAATACAAGCACGATCTCAGGATTTATTCTCTGAAAGAGACAGCGTATAGAGAGACGAAGAAACAGGAGCAGAAGCTAGTCGAGTTTGTCCTCAAGACGGTCTCGGTCACGTACCAGAAAACATCCTGCGTCACGGGAGACCGATTGGACAAATGGTACCAGGAGCTATGAAGATCTGGAGTGGTATACAACGAACGCCTCCGACCCGAAGCGCGCGACAAATACCACAAAGCAGTACATACAGCCCCGAAGATCAACAAACTCAACGAGTGGGTTACAGAATGGGAGACGACGATGGCCGAAGCGATTAGCAAGAAAGTCCCTGATGCCCTCGACGCGCAGTGCTGGGCAGAAGACCTGAATCGAGCCATGTATCACGTCCTCCCTAGCTGGGCATCTACTTTTCGACAACATCGACGCCCTCAAATCCTCAATAATTCCCTCAACTATCGAGAGGTCGCTGCCGACATTCGATACGAAGCCAAAATGGCCAACGCGAGCGGAAGGCCGTCAGGCATCAAGAGAGGCGCATTCGTAGCCACATACGGCGCTGCACTCAGGAACGACAGATCTGCAATCACGGACCGCGATAATGACACTATTGAAGTCCAAGGAGACGCCTCAGATTGGGCGACGGACGAAGCATCCTATGCACATCGAGATACGCGAGGCCAAGGCCGTGGGCGTAGAGCACGAGGCGGCGGAAGAGGAGTATCAACAAAACGAAAACGAGCAGAGACAACCGTCAATCCGAACCCGGATGTCCCTACTTGTCGAGGATGTTAAGGCTTCCATGACTGGAGAGGCTGCTGGTACTTATTCCCAGCCCAGAAAGCCGAAGGATGGGAACCCAACCAAGCCATACAACGATTAATAAATGACCGTCTCAAGAACGATACTGATTTGGTGGAGGAAGTCAAACGATTGTCCAAAAGTAGAGACAGAACGACTCAGGACGAGTGACTTGGGCGGGGTATGGCATACGTCAATGCAACCTACCTAGTGATGCACAACTTTATCGCAGCCTTCAACTGTGCCCCCTACCCTCTCAGACATTCTGCCATCCTTGACTCTGGATCGACAATCCATATCTTCAACGAAGTATGCAGGTTTCTCAACTACCAACCTGCATCGCTTGGAGACTTCGTCTACGCAGGAGATTCACCAGTAACTATTCACGGTTACGGAAATGTAGACATTTGCGTCCAAGGACCCCAAGGACCTTCTCTTCTCAGATTGCTTGATGTAGCTCATTGTATAAACTTTGCCTGCAATATTGTCTCATACCGACAGTTGCGGAAAAGAGGTTACTATTGGGACACCAGAGGAAACAACAACCAAATCCGCAGAAAAGATGACTCGATCCTCTGCACATTGACGGACCATTTCGACCAGTACGTGCTAGAGTACATCGACAAATCGACAACAGCAGCAGCATTCCTAGCCAAACGGAAACGGTATGATTCGTGGAGTAAGCGCCCTCCTCGTAGTGGAAACGAAACCTTTTGGCACCTTCGACTTGGACACCCTGGGCCTAAGGCACTCAAGCACCTCGTGGGTCAATCTCGGGGGGTGAAGATCAAGGGGATCTCCACGGTCGAGTGTGATGCCTGTGGAATGGCGAAGGTGAAGCGCCAAATCCGTCGACAAAGACGAGTTCCACCTGAGAAGGCCGGAATCCGGCTTGCTATTGACTTCCACGACGTCACTGGAGATGCTGGCTGCACTTCAACTATGCTAGTCACTGACCGTTACTCTGGCTATATTTGGGACTACTATCTTCCCGATCGAACTGGACCAACACTTATCCATGCACTTGAGCATCTACTCAAAATACTAGAGAGACAACTGCAGTGCAGACCCGAAGTCATCGAATCGAGTGTGACAACGAGATCCCGGATAGTCACCAGGTAAGTGACTTCCTCACTGTCAAAAACGGGATGCGCCTAGAGCCCTCCGCGCCATATGCCCAGAGTCAAAACGGCGGCGCAGAGCGCTCAGGGGGTGTAATCAAGGAAAAAGCTCGCGCAATGAGAATTGGAGCAGAGCTGCCTTCGTTCCTTTGGGTTGAGATCTGGCGTGCTGCCGTTTACCTATACAATAGGACGCCGAAGTACATTTACAATTGGAAAACGCCTTATGAGCGTTTCTACACTTACTTTGCCTATAGGGACGGGGTGGTAGTCACAGAGCGTAAACCCGATCAGACACATCTCCGCGTATATGGCTGTAAAGCCTTCGCGATGACGACCGATGCTTTGAAAAAGAAGAATCGGCGACAGCGACTCAATCCCCGAGGTTGGATAGGATATCTGGTCGGGTATAACTCGACAAGTATCTACAAGGTCTGGAATCCGTTGACCAACAAGGTCATATCCACTAGAGACGTGATCTTCAATGAGAAGGAGACGTTCTCTGGGGATATCCAGCATCTCAGGGATGATTTAAAGGAACTAAACGAGGAGGAACTTATTCAGCATCTCACCGATGCTGAGGTTCCGCAGGGATCTAGCATGAATCTGGATGCATCTACCCAAGAAGAAGACGAGGAACTCTAAGCGCCTTGCCTGAAGGACTAGCGTTTGAGCGGGAGGCTGCAAGTTATCCACATAGAGGGTTTGACCGTGATCACCCGATCACGCAGGGTGAGACTGGCAGGACACTAGTCGTAGGAGATCGGAATCGAGAAGAGCCTGACGGGACTGATCACCCCCATACGACCACTCGATTCGCTCCCTACCTGACCCCGGAGACTTGCCCTCTACAGCCTGCTGCCCTTCTGGTCGCTACTATCAGAGAACCTCCCGCGAGGAAGGAGGGAGAAAAGCCCCCTCAGTTACGAGCTGCCAAGATGGTGCATGTCCCACCTAGCGCTGGCACTTCCCCGGGACGAGACGGCGCAAATGGAGCCCCTCGTGTCGTTTCAACTTCGAGCAGTTGCTGGGAGGCCGCATTTAATGCCGGTCGACTCGCATCTGTGAAAGGGACCTGGAATGGCAAGGTGGTGAGTAAGCGGAAGCTCGAGAAGCAGGCGAGCTCGGCCAGCTGCCACCCTGATAGCGGAGAACCTCAGTCTATAGGAAATCACGGAGAATCTACTAAGCTGATGGATTCTCCCAGTTGCAAAAGCCAGTCTTCAAAGCTGACAGAGTTAGGTGACGGCCAACGCCGGATGCACCGGCGAGACATGCCAATATTACCAAAGAGGCATAAAGACCTCCACAGCCATCCACTAGGTGACATATTCCGTGAGGCAGAAAAGGCTCATCTGGAAAGCCATAAAGAAATGTGCTCGTCGCGTGAGGTTCAGAGAGAAGAAGCCGCAGGCAAGGAACTCCTGGACTGCATGTGGGTTTACGTGTACAAATTCGACAAGCACGGCTGGTTCACCAAGTGCAAGGCCCGGCTCGTTGTACGAGGCGATCAACAGGCCAAGTCGACACACGAGGATACCTATGCATCCACACTGGCCGGCCGATCTTTCCGAACACTCGTGGCTATAGCTGCTCGTTTTGATCTAGAACTTCTCCAGTATGATGTTGTTAACGCTTTTGTCAATGCTGAACTGAAGCAGGACGTCTACATGCGGATGCCTGGAGGCTACCGAAAGCCTGGTCTGATTCTCAAGCTTCAGAAAGCACTATACGGCTTGCGCCAGTCACCACTACTCTGGCAGAAAGAACTAACCACCACTCTTACGAACCTTGGGTTCAAGCCTGTACCCCACGAGCCATGCTGTCTCTCGAAAGAAGGAATACTGATATTCTTCTACGTGGACGATCTCATTGTTGCCTACGACAAGATCAATCAAGGAGCGGTTGAACGGACGGTGGGCAAGCTTCAAGAGAAATACGAACTCTCTGGTGGGGATACTCTACAGTGGTTCCTGGGAATCGAGATCATTCGCGACCGAAGCCAACGGTTGATTTGGCTTTCACAATCGTCATTCGTGGATAAGATTACCAACCATTTCAGACTTCAAGGGGGAAAGCCTTCCCTAACTCCAATGACCACGAAAGAACTTTTTCCGAACGGCGAGCGCGCATCAGCAGCGTCAATACAACTGTATCAACGCAAGACCGGATCAGTGCTCTACCTAGTAGTAATCACTCGACCCGATATTGCCCTTGCTGTTTCTCGACTTTGCCGATTCAACATGAACCCGAGTGACGACCACCATGAGGCTGTGGACCACCTATTCCGGTATCTGCAGAACACCAGAGCACTCGCACTACAACTCGGTGGAACGGACACCTTTGATGTATACAGTGACGCTTCTTTTGCCGACAACAGCCTCGATCGGAAGAGCTCACAAGCCTACGTGATGAGACTATTTGGAGGGACTATTGGATGGCGTGCCAACAAGCAGGATACCGTGACTACCTCTACAACAGAGGCGGAGTTACTGGCACTTGCGCAGGCTGCAAAAGAGTCCATGTTCATTTCCAGATTGATCACTGAGCTCGGTGTGACTCTCGACAACACAAGCATCACTATTCAGTGCGACAACATGCAAACTATTCGGCTGATCAATGCCGATGTAGCCCTACTGCAGACCAAACTTCGGCACGTCGATATCCATAACCACTGGCTGCGCCAGGAAGCACTCGCTAACCGGATTTCGGTCCGGCATACACCCACGACTGAGATGATTGCGGACGGTCTTACAAAGGCATTGTCCGTTCAACAGTTCCAGAAGTTTGTTACACAGGTTGGCCTAGTGGATATTAATGATAGAATCCAGGAGAGGAGGTTCAAAGAGCTTACTGCGGAGGATTTCATCAGAGCCGGGGAACGGCTGTAGGAAAGAAAAGCCCAAGTCGAGACTCAAAGGAAAGGCCAACCTGACGAAAGCAAACAGACTATACAGACCGAACCCCGGGGGGTTTGATTTTGATTTGATTTGATTATCCTACACGGTTGTGGCCGCTTTTATCCGCAGCTATGCCCGGCTAACAGGGCTCGGCCGACAGTCGACGCGTTCGTCGCGCAAACGCCCCACTTCGCCATTGTTGTTGAAACAAGGCCAGCTGTCCCCAAGTATCCCGTTTTGATCCTCATTCGCTATCTATGATCTGAATTGCTTGCTTTCTGTTAAAGAAATCCAAACTCTCCGCTTCTTGTTCCTCAGTCTTCTCATCCACTTCCTGTTGCTTCCAAGAATCTATCCTTCGTGACTTCGTGCCAAGGCTCTGTCGGTGCTCGCGCACCATGTTGCACGACCATGATACCTACAGTCTCCCCCCAGCCGTCGACTTTGTCTATAAGATGACCTCCCTTGTTAAACCCCCAAGGCTCTTCGAGTACATCAAATTCCATTTCTTTCTGTTCTTGTTGCCTTCAGCTGGGTTCCTATGTGGCCATGTTTTCGTCCTCTGTGTATGTATCGTCGCTCCCGATGGTGGCAGTAGCGGGCAACAAAGAGCCCTATGTAGTGCGATGCTCCGCTCGTTCCGAGGTGTCGGATTACTGAGTATGAGAGCCCCTGCGCGGTTTCCTCAGACGTTGCCTGGTAACGAAGGGGAACCAAATCCCTCGCCACCATGTTTTGGGAGGCGACAGTGGACAAGTCTGTCTGATCTGTAGTGTTGTTTGGCATCGTTTGTAGCGTGCCGCATGTCTGGTGCTCTGCCGCGCGGGGGTTGATACTGTTCTGTCCGACGACTCGCCGTGACGGGACGTCGTGAGCCTTGTCGAGATGGGCTGACCGGCAAAGACCCATATGTGACTGTATGTTTTGTTTGGAAGCTGTTGTTGGAGGTGCTCGAGCTTCGTCGTCGTACTATACGGGCTGCGTGGTTGCTCAGCTAAGGTCGCCATCGTTTGCGGATACGTGGTTTTCGTGACATGCTCTCGTTATTTCGCGCTCTTTTCCCGCCCGCAATCGCACCCCGACTTCTGCGGCTATCAAGACATCCGGGGGAAGATGAAATGACCCGTTGAAGCCATTACGACCACGAGTGGGAGTGTTGTGTGCAATGTGCGGCTGTTGTTTCAAAAATTCGTTCTCGCTGTTTGATGATGTTTTTCGTGTCACAAGGGATGGATCAAACCAAAAGGTGGTTGGTTGAAGAAGTGGGGTACACGTGATGTAAGCGCTGGGATCCTAATAGTCTCATGAACTTCCCTAGAAAGCTGCATCAAGACTCCCTCTTCAACTACACGTATCCCTCGTTATTCAAGTCCGCACCAAGCAATGGCGAGTCTACCTTCTCTTCCCAATGAAGTCTCTCGTTTTATTCTTGGCCAGGTCCATCCGCGGGATTGGCTTTCCCTTCGACAAACATGCAGGGAACTAAATAAAAAAACAGCTCACCTGGTGACTGACTTTTTCTTTCGAACGCGTGTAGTCATGCTCGAGCGGAGAAGTCTACATTGTCTCGCAAGTATTGCAAGAAGTCAGTCATTTGGACAATCTGTTGAGGAGCTTGATATTTGCACCAGCCATCTGCTACCACTTGATGAGGTGGAGGAGATCGAGCCACCATACAGCGAGTATGAAGGCATGATGAAGCACCTAAAGAAGGAGAACAATATGGATGCTATCCTCCGACTTGGCATAGAAGACTATGAAGAGTGGGTCAGAAGGTGGCCGATCAATAACGGGGAGGGGGGGTTTGGTGATGAGGATGAACAAAGCGACTACAACAGCCAAGATAACCGAGGGATGAGTTCTGCCATCGGCGATGACGGCCAGGCGGCAAGTAGCCAACTTGAGCAGATTAACACGCAAGAGTACAACAGATATCTACATGATCAAGATGCGATGCGTGCAGGCTACGATGTGAAATGCTTGGCAGGAGCTATGACAT